AATTATAAATCTACATTATAGAAATTATGAATCTACAGTATATAAACTATGAATCTACAATATAGAAATTATAAATCTACATTATAGAAATTATGAATCTACAATATAGAAATTATAAATCTACATTATAGAAATTATGAATTAAATAACTTTAGAAAATTTTTATGACTCCTCAATCCTTTGGTATGTTTTTTTTTTTTTTTTTTAATTCTCCCAGTATGCCAAATGCAAATTAAAGTACATGCCTTGAACTTGGAAACATTTGAGCAATTGCAGTAGGCATGGCAAAACAATGATTCATCATGATTGTTTGTGGCTCGTAGATATGTTTTAAACAACCAAAGAGTTAAAAGACAATAATGGTCCCTCGACTATATTGTAATTACCAATTTGGTCCTCGATTATTATTCGTGCCCGATTAAGTCATTAACTATGCAATATTTACCCAATTACTCAAGTAAAAATGATAGTCAAGGACCAAATTTGTAATTACGACATAGTCGAGGGACCATTTTGATTATTAACTCACAACCAAACAAACAATTTTATCCTCTCATTAAGTATTAAAAAAAAAAATGCACCCAAAAATTACGTTCACATAATAATGATTCATATCTACAAAGAAACCACAAATCATATCGTACTTATTAGTACGATATGTTGTAAAATGTACTAGTAAATCCTTGAACAAACTATAATCCTACTTCATTTGCACAATAAAACTTTTTTCATTCTCACATATAAACTACCAGCAACATAATACTGGTTACCCCTCCAACAATACATCCCAATATAAATGCATAATCATTATACAAATCAGAAGTTTCTTCAAGTGAATTATCTGAAAGCCCCCAACAACTCAAAATTAACTGTAATTAAAAAAAAAAAAAAAAAACACTACAACTATAGTAAAATGTAAGAAAAATGGTCAAATAAACCTCTAACATTACTTAAGAAATAGGAATGACAATATGCCCCGTCTCCGATGGGGACGGGGAAAATTTTTAGGGAACGGGGAATGTTTGTAATTCTCCGTCGGGGACGGGGATACCCCTCCCCGCCCCGCCCCATCCCGTCCCCAAAATAATTATTATTAATAATAAATAAATAAATAAAAAAAATATAAATTATATATATATGTATATATATATATATATATATATATATATATATATATATATATATATATATATATATATTAAATTAATATTTAAGTTTTAGTTTTTAAAATTAAAAATTACATTAATTTAAAATTTTGACTAAGAATTAATTGGTGACATTCCCCGTCCCTGCCTAATTTCCCGCGGGGACGGGGATGGGGACTATTTTCAATTCCGCGCCGGGACGGGGTCAAGGTTTCGGAGACGGGGACGGAGAGTAGACTCCCGGTCCCGCCCTGGCCCGTTGTCATCCCTATCAAGAAGTCAATTAGGTCCTTAAACTTTCAAAGATTGCAATTAAGCTCTTAAACATATTATTTTAGAGCATTGAGGCCCAAAAACCGGTTGGTGACCTATAATTACAGGTCACTAGTATTCCAGCGAAATTCCGACCATATTCAGGTAAAAAACACCGACGAAACGGTCGCCAATGTTGTTTGGTTGCCTTTTTTCTAGCGAAAGAGAAGGCAAATCCAACTAGTATGTAAATTGTGTATTTTGAACTTGAATCCACCTTGCAAGGTGGACCCTGGTCCATGGTATAAGTGTATAACTGTTGTCAAAAGTTTCGTAAATCATATCATAATAGAATAATAACGAGTAGTCCAGTATGACTTATGGTGGTGGCCTAATATGATCATTACATTGGTTGTGTTTGGCACGGCCTGTCAATTTAACGTAACATGACAACATGCCCTATTTTCCACATACCAATAATCAGAACTAATCATTAAATTTTAAAACTTAATTGGTCCATTTAATTTTGATAATTAAATTCAAAAAATTTCTAATTAGGAGAAGTTGTGTTTATTATCGTGGAAAAATGTAATGAATTTATGTGTTGAGTTGTGGGTCATCTATTATGGTCTATATATGACATGGAATATGAGGCATAAAGATGTGGTATTGAAGAGCGATTTGTAAATAGTTGTTGAAAAACTAAATCAGGCATGCATAAACAAATAAAACGGTGATCCTAAACTAAATCAGGTATAACGGTGATCGAGTTATACTACTTGACCTTATTATGACTTAAATAAAAAGATATCACCCAAAAGAAAAAGTTTAACATAATAATCAAATATTTTTTTAAAAAAAGTTAATATTATATGGGGTTCTCCGAATATGGTGGTTTTGTCACGTTTAATCCTAAACATTCAAATTAATCGTCCGTGGTTCTTTAACTTTCAAATTGACCACCTGTAGTCCTTTAACTTTCAAATTGTTACTATCTATGATCTAAGTTTACCATCCATTGTCCTTCAACTTTCAAAATTTAATTAGTTATGGTCCTCTTGGAAGAACCATGAAATTTGATAGTTGAAGGACCATGGGTGGTTAACTTGGACCACCGTCCACGGATGATAACAATTGAAAGTCGAAGGACCCCTCAATTTGAAAGATTAGGACTAAACGTGTCAAAATTACTATACTCGGAGGACCAGATATGGTATTAACTCTTAAAAAAGAAAAAAACAATCAATATAACAACGATATATAAGAAGTAAAAATTACGAGATAATTTTCGGAGGAAAATATAATATAAATCAACACTTCATCAACAAAGAGGTTCAAAAAATAATCATGATAATACAATAAAATATCTCAATACATAGTAATAAAAGTACAAAGAAATAATTAGGCATTTGAAATGACCTTTAATTTTCATTTTTGCGCATTATTAAAATAGAAAAAAATTAAATTATAATGATATGCATGAGCCACTCTTTTATTTGTCTTCTTCATAGAACACACGTGTCTGTGTTTTTTTGTTTTTTCTTTATTTGTTTAAGCTGTCTTTATCCAATGAATAATATTTAAGTTAATCAAATCAAAGTGGGATTGTATGATGAAAATTGTTTGCACTTGCACGCCGGCTGTATTGTTGATCGTCTGTTCGTCTGGTCAGCAGTCACATGTGTGTTTCAGTCTCCTGTGCATAAATATATAAAATAATAAGTGTAATTTTATTATTAATTTACAATTTTAATTGAAACGTAACAAATCATTTAATTAGTTTTCAAAAAAAAAAAAAAAATCATGTAATTAAGTTATGTAAAATTAAGTTGAGAATGTCAACGACCATGTGGGTCTAGTGGTACGAAGTGACTATCCTAAATGGGAGGTCATGGATTTGAGTCTCAATGGAGACGATATTGACTTAAAAAAAAAAAAAAAACAACAACAACAAGAAGCAGATTAACAGAAAGAAGGTGAAAGTAATAAATGCAAGTGTGCAAGTAAAATCACATTGGTGCGCGTAATGGGTGTCTCGCATGCGTTGGGTTTTTTGTTTTTTTTTTTGTTTTTTTTTGTTTTTTTTTTGTCGCTAGGGGATATTTGTCGTGGGGTGGGGTGGGGGGGGGGGGGGAGTGTGAATCGTAGGTTGTGAGGATGTGCATTGTTGCGCTTAGTGCGGTGCATCATAGAACGTTGGGATATGCATTGGTTGAAGGGCGTCAGATATGCACCCCTGGTCAGTTTTGTGGGGTTTAGGGGTTATGGTTTAGGTTTTAGGGTTTTTGTTTTGTTTTTTTTTTTGTTTTTGTTTTTGTTTTGTTTTTTTTGTTTTTTTTGTTTTTTTTTGTTTTTTTTTTTTTTTTGTCGCTAGGGGATATTTGTCGTGGGGTGGGGTGGCGTGGGGTGGGGGTGGGGGGTGAATCGTAGGTTGTGAGGATGTGCATTGTTGCGCTTAGTGCGGTGCATCATAGAACATTGGGATATGCATTGGTTGAAGGGCGTCGAATGTGCACCACATGGTCAGTTTTGTGGGGTTTAGGGGTTATGGTCTAGGTTTTAGGGTTTATGGATTTAGGGTAGAGGTTTAAGATGTGAACTTACAAAATGTTGTACACTTGGGTGCACTCCTAGAGGTATAGTTGTGCATTACTAGAGATAAATATGTGCATTTTGTAGAGTAGTGTTGTGCATGTTGTGTTAGCTTGGGTGAGTTATGTGTTCAGGTTGTGTTTGCAAAAGCTTCACAAAATAGATGCACAATTAGAGAGTTATCCATGCAATACATTCGGTATAGGAATGCATGATCAAAGCAATATGAATGCGCGATGAATATCATATTAATGACATGGTTGGTAATCGTACTAGAATGATTGCATATGATATTTGTTCGTTGGCCATGAAGATGTCGATATGGTGGATGGAGTTGTTGGATGAGTCAAGAATTGGTAACGTAGAGCACTAGGAAGCTTAGAGATACTGGGTGCGTTTAAAAAGAATAGTGGGAGATATTTATGCTATTTTGACGTGGATTGATGCTATCGTGGTGACCAAATTGCCTTTCAAAGCATTTTTCCTTATTAATTTGTGCCTTAATTAGTTCTAATTAGTATATTAGGGTGATTTGATCACAGTTGTGGATTGTCTAATTTCAATAGCCCATATTAAACCACATTTCTCACATGGAGCATGGTTTTCATAAGAGCCGGACTATATATATACCAGTTGAGAGAAAGTGTAATTCTTATGAAAAAAAATGAACCTATGTCACGGATCAAGATCCATGAGACGGTCTCATATGATATTTTGCCTATTCGTTATACGTTAATTTTATTTGTACAAAAAAAAATAAGTTAAAAAAGAATTTAACATGGATTTACTTTGCAAGATTGACCATGGTCCAAGATATAACAACTCCGCTCCATAAAACACCATTAAACTGATGGTGGAGATGAGAACTGTATGAATTGTATTGAATGAACTTAATTACAATTGTACAGACACGGGGAATATATATACAAGAGGAATCATAGGAAGACTAGAATAGGGAGTCATACTATAACTCAAATACAAGAATCATAATACTAGTCCTACTACTCCTCTTCAAGCACATGGAACACTTGTAACTTGTAGCTTGTCTCTGAGAAAAGAAAATCTAGGACCAGACAAGGCTTTGGTGAATATATCTGCAAGTTGATCTTTTGTTGAGATAAAATTTAATTGAATCTCTCCAGTAATAACTTTATCTCGCACAAAGTGATAATCTATCTCTACATGTTTGGTGCGAGCATGGAAGATGGGATTGGCACACATATATGTAGCTCCAAGATTATCACACCATAATTTGGGAACCGAGATCCCTGTAACACAGATTTCACGCAGAAGAGACATGATCCAAATTACTTCAGCACAAGCATCTGCTAGAGCTTTATATTCAGCCTCAATATAAGATCTAGCAATAGTTCTTTGTTTCTTGCAGACCCATGATACTAGATTAGACCCAAGAAAAACAGCAAAACCACTTGTGGATTTTCTATCCTCCGAACAGCCGGCCCAATCAGAATCAGAGAAGGCATGAATTTCCCTTGAGGATGACTTCCTGACTTGTAGGCCGAAATTGACAGTTCCTTTGACATATCGTAATACTCTCTTTAGTTGTTCCCAGTGAGTAGCTGTAGGTGCATGCATGTGTTGACATAACTGATTGACTGCAAAGGATAGATCAGGACGAGTGATGGTTAAATACTGTAATGCACCTGCTAAACTCCTGTATTGTGTAGGATCATCATATGGAGTTGCGTCAATGGCGATTGATTTTGACGTGGAAATTGGGGTGGACAAGGACTTGTAGGCTGTCATTCCAGCACGTTTTAGAATATCCTGCATGTATCTCTGTTGGCAAAGTAAAATCCCATCATTGTATTAAATTGCCTCAATTCCAAGAAAAAAACCTGGTTCACCAAGATCCCTGATTTTAAATGCAATAGAGAATTTTGAGACTAGTTGAAGAACTAGATTCGTATCACTTCCCATCATAAGAATGTCATCCACATAAACAAGTAGATATACACAATCAAATCCCTATGAGTAATAAAAAAGAGACACATCTGTTTTGGATGCCTGAAACCCAATAGATAGTAAAAAGGTGTGCAAACGATCAAACCAAGCTCGGGGAGCCTGTTTTAATCCATAAAGAGACCTTTTTAGCAGATATACATGATTTGGATAGGAAACATCAATATATCCAGGCGGTTGCTTCATATACACAGTTTTATAGAGATGTCCGTTCAAGAAAACATTATGAACATCCAATTGCTTAATAGTCCACCCAGAAGATAAAGCAATAGAAAGAAGCAACCTGACTGTGGTTGGTTTAACCACTAGGCTGAAAGTATCAAAGAAGTCCTGACCTGGCACTTGATCAAACCCTTTTGCTACAAGTCTTGCCTTATGCCTTTCAATGGAACCATCAGCTTTTCGTTTGGTACGAAAAATCCATTTGCACCCAATGATGTTCATGTATGACTGAGATGGCACAAGTTGCCAAGTCTGATTTTGTAGTAGGGCATTAAATTTCTGATCCATAGCCTCTCGCCATTCTGAATGTTTAACAGCCTGTGTGTAACAAGTGGGATCCGAAGGACAAACCTGAACCGTTAAAATAGAAGGTGGAGCCCGAGACCGACTCCGAGTGTGCATTTCATGAGTCCGAACCGTTGACTTGATCGTTTTCCCACGAGGACGCCCACGTGGGCGTTTAACAGGCTGGATGGCCTCAACAGGCAGCTCACGGCCTGGCGAGGCAGATGGTCCGGCGGCAGTAGTGGGCGGTGGTGGAGAGGATTCCGAATCACAGGCGGCGGTGCTGGGTGAGACGGCCACAGGACCAATCGGCGGCGAAATCGTGGTGGGATGAAGAACTGACTCAGCCCACGGACAGAATTTCTCAAGTGGAGATGACTGCATAGTATTTTTAGTAGCAAAAGGAAAAACTGTTTCATCAAACCTTACATGCCTGCACACATAAATCTTTTTAGTCTGCAAGTCCATGCATCTATACCATCGAAACTACTCAGGATAACCTAGGAAAACACATTGAATGGACTGGAATGAGAATTTATGACGATTATATGATTTGAGAAAACATGTAATTCTTTGGATACTGATTTCTGAATTCGCAAACCAGAAGTGATAGTTCCCTTTACATACCTTAGAACACACTTTAATTGTTCCCAATGCGAGACTGTAGGGGCGCATGCATGTGCTGACACAGCTGATTTACTGCAAATTAAAGGACAAGTCTAGGCGGGTAACTGTAAGATATTGTAAAGCACCTGCCAGACTTCTATAGTGTGTGGCATTGTCATATAAATCAGCATTGGAGATAATAGGTTTAGAAGCAGACATAGGAGTGGCTAGAGGTTTACAGTCTGTCATGCCAGCATGTGTTAAGATATCTGTCATGTATCTTTGCTGAGAGAGCAAAATTCCATCCTTACACTTGATTGTTTCAATCCCTAGGAAGAAATCAGGTTCACCAAGATCCCTAATATTGAATGCAGATGATAGAGCAGTCATACGGGAGCTGATAAGACCTTGATCATTGCCCATTACAAGAATGTCATCAATATAAACAAGAACATAAATGAAACCTGAACACTATGAGTAGTAAACCAAAGATACATCTGTGTTTGAAGCTTTAAAACCCGCTGCCATCAAGAAGGTGTGTAAGCGATTAAACCAAGCTCTGGGTGCTTGTTTTAATCCATATAGGGAACGTTTCAATAGACAAACATGATCAGGAAATTGTTTATCAATGTATCCCGGTGGTTGCTTCATATAGACAGTCTCAGATAAGGACCCATTCAAGAAAGCATTATGCACATCAAGCTGTTTGATAACCTAACCAGATGATATAGCCAAAGATAGAAGTAACCTGATAGTTGTCGGTTTGACCACTGGGCTGAAGGTGTCAAAAAAATCTTGATCGGGTACCTGATTAAATCCTTTTGCTACCAACCTTGCTTTGTAACAATCGATTGTCCCATCAGCTTTCTTTTTTTGTGCGAAGAACCCATTTACACCCAATAATATTCATATTAGACTGAGATGGGACAAGACACCAGGTTTCATTCTGAAAGAGCGCATTAAATTCATCATCCATAGCATTGCGACATTCATCATGTTTAACAGCCTGTGTATAACAAGTAGGTTCAATTGGACAAACCTAGGCTGATAGAGCCAAGAGAGGACCATCAGCGTGACTATGAGTGGCCATTGAGTGAATCTGAACCGTGGGGCGCGACGACCGACCTCTCGGCCGGCCACGGCGTTGTTGAGCAGCAAGTTCGGTGTCCGCCGAGGGCCCATCCTGGGCCGGTTCTGGTTGGCTGGATTCGCTGCTAGCCGGAACCGGTTCAAGCGAGACCGGTTCAGTCGAGACGGATGATGATGCTGGAACAAGTACAGACTCAGCCCATGGTTGAGCCGTGTGAATTGGTGGTGCTTGCAAAACTGTCTTGCCAAAAGGGAAAACATTCTCATCAAACCGAAAATGCCTGCATATATACACCTCGTTAGTCTGAAGGTCCATGTATCTATACCCCCTAAATGACTCAGGATAACCTAGGAAGACACATGGAGAAGACCTGTAAGACATCTTATGACGATTGTAGGGACGCAAATAATGATAGCACAGACAACCCAAGACACGAAGAAAAGAATAGGATGGAAGGAGATTTATGCAATAGAAGGTGAGGACTGGATTTATTTTTCACAACGGATGGCATTTTATTAATTAAATAAACCGCAGTCTCAAAAGCATAATCCCAAAACTTATAAGGGATGGATACACGACATAAGAAAGCTAGACCAGTTTCAACAATCTGTCTATGCTTTCTTTCGACATGACCATTCTGTTCATGAGTATACACACAAGATTGTCTATAAAAAATGCCTAACTGAGCCAAGGTGGAGTGTAACTTTTTTATATTCAGACTTTTGTGACATATGGAAATACCAAGTGTAACGAGAGTAGTCATCAACAAAGACAACGAAATAACGATATCTATTAGTAGAAAGAATGGGAGCAGGCCCCCCAAATGTCTGTGTAAATTAAATCAATGACACATGAACAAGAGGACTTTACACGCGATAAGGAAAACCGCACAGATTTCCCTAACTAACATGCATTACATAGACCGGAAGAACAACGAATATTACTGCTAGACCCACTAACCGAACAGGACGAAAGAATTTGACTGAGAACTCGTTGATGAGGATGACCAAGACGATCATGCTACACAGATGCTGAGGCTCTAGCCGAAAGAAACGCAATTGGTGACGAACTCAGAATGGGAAGCTTGTAAAGCACCCTAGAGCTATTACCCCGTAGAAGAATTTCCTTGGTGTTGATATACTTCACAACAAAAAAAAAAAAAAAAAAAAAAAAAAAAAAAAGATGGGTGAAACTCAAAGAACACCTTATTATCTGATGCAAATTTTTGAATAGACAATAGAGATGTAGACAAACTAGGAACATGAAGAATATTAGACAATTGAAAAGATTTAGAGGGAAAATTAAAGATAGCATGACCAATACGACTAATAGGTAATCCCATACCATCACCGACACGTAATGTGTCATTACCATTGTAGTCATCCGAGAAGGAGAGAGCAGCGATGTCTGGAGTGACATGATGTGGGAACCTTGAGGCTCCAAAGGAGTTTCTTGATATATGACATTAGCCTGAGGATCCTTGGCACACCAAAGATAGCATGTGGAAGCAGTATGACCTAACACATGACAAAGTTTACGCTTGGGTTGCCAGTTGTCGTTGCGTCCTCCACCACGGCGACCGCCACCACGCCCGCGGCCGCCGCCACCACCACGTGGCTGGCCGGTTTGGCTGTTGTTTTGACCGTTGTTCTGGCCGGAACCACGACCACCGTTACCGCGCCCGGAACTGCGGCGCTTCTGGCCGCCCTTTTGCGTCGTGAAAGTGGTCAGTGAGCCACCTCCGTGACCGCCGCACGTCATAAATTCCTCCGCGCCCAAGAGATCCGCAAGTTCTTAGAGAGTAATGGGTTGGCCACGCACGTTGAGAGACGACACGAGACCCATGAACTTTGATCGTAACCCCTGAAGAACGTAAAAGTTTTGTTCTTCAAGTGTCATAGGTCGGCCGGCGAGAGCGAGCTCCTCCACCAAAACCCTAGCTTTGCCAATGTAGTCAGCCGCAGACATGTTTCCTTGATCAAGTGTCTTCAATTGTCCGAGTAGATTGAGACCACGGGAGCGGGAGAACGACGCGAGTGCACCAACCACGGCAGTCCAGATAGCCCGGTTGGTGCGGTGGCCGATGGTGAGAGGCATGACCTCATCGGATAAGGACGACATCAACATGGACAATAAGGCTTGGTCCTGCCGGACCCACGCACGATGCACCGGATTGAGCTGCGCGGTCGCCGTACTATCGCCGTCACCAGTTAGGGTTGCCGAAGGACATGGATTCGTTCCATCAACAAATCCAAGAAGATCGTGACCATCAAGAAACGGAACAATCTGGGCTATCCAAAATAGGTAGTTCTTGTAGGCCAACTTAATGCTTATGAAGTGGTGAGCGGTGGATAAAGAATTAACCACCGACGTAGCGGAAGAAATAGAAGCATTAGAGATGGTCCGTTCAAAGAAATTAACAGATCCGTCAATCATTGGAAAGAAAACCCTAGCTTAGCTGATACCAGATGAGAGCTAATAGAGTTGTGTATTGAATGAAATAATAGAATGTACATATTACAAGTATATATAAGAAGGAAGTCTCAGAGAGACTGAGATAGGGAATCATAATTAAACTAAAATACATAAAGTCCTAATAATGAAATCCAAAGCACCCAAAAAAAAAATCTAAAGGCACTAGTCCAAATATAAAAATCAGATTACCAATAATATATAATGATACCCGTTTTTAATTAGGGAATAGAGTTTTTAATTGAAGGATAATCAAATCACATAGTTGTGTTTTAAAAAATTGTCAATCAATCACTAACTATGATTTTGATTCTCATTTTCCTAATGTGTAAACCAATGAACCAAACACACCCTTAGTATTTTCCGTCAAAAAAGGGTGGCTTGGTAGGGGATGCACTACAAGGAAAAAGGGCCAAGATAAACAATGCGAGGTTTCCTAGGGTTCCCCTCCCTTTAATGTTCAAAAAAAAAAAAAGGCAGGGTAGGGGAGTCATGCATACACGCAAAAATAAATAAATAAATATTAAAAAATGACAAGAAAAAAATACAGTGAAATTTTTGTGATTATAACGGCATATATGTTTGGAAATGATGGATAGTGAATTCATCACGAACAATTGACAATGCACTTAAAATGTATTCCTATAATAATACAATTAAGTATGTGAACTGTTATTGATTCACGAATGTATTATCATAATTACATAAATACTACTATATTTTTTCATTAATTTATAGACCTTAATCATCTTAGATGGATGGATAATCTTAATTCACATGTTGTTACAATACTGCTATTAGTTCTCAATTGAATATATTATATTATATTACACACACACACACACACACACACACACACATATATATATATATATATATATATATATATAGGAACGCACTCAGGTGCGAATAAGTGCCCAGGAAGGAAATGCGAACGAATCAGCGCGTGACACGTGTCCAGATCTAATAACTTAAAAAAAATGCGGTGGCATTTTCGTAAATAATTGAACATCGAAGTGCAAGTAAAATCTCTTATAAGTGCACATATTTTCACCTATAAGTGCATATAATTTTGCCTTGTTAGCATTCACTTTCCGCAACCATTCATGCACCTGGGTGTGCTTATAACTATATGTGCAACTATTTATAACTATAGGTGCAACTACTTATAACTATATGTGCACCTACTTTCACCTATAAGTGCATGTAATTTTGTCTTGTTAACATTCATTGATCTGAGTTCAGCGGGTAGTAATACTCCTGAAAACCACTCGCAAACATTCATACACCTAGATGCAACTACTTATACCTATGTGTGCAACTACTTAGAACTATAGGTGCAACTACTTAGAACTATAAGTGCAACTAAGTATTGATGCTCAGTGTAAATTTTTACTTGCACCTATAATACATTTTACATGCACTTGTAATACATTTTACTTGCACTTCGATGTTCAATTATTTACGAAAATGTCACCGCATTTTTTAAAAAAATCAGTGTTTCTCATCCATTAGATCTGGACACGTGGACGAACAGAATCCATTCTTATTTCGCGCCTGGGCGAGCCGCACCCGAGTGCAACTCTATATATATATATATATAGGCGGGTTCAGGTGCGGCAGTGTCTTACGGTGCGGTTATTTCTTACGGTGCGGCAACACCAATAGTTCACCAAATATGCACCATCAACGTTAGGAAATACACCACACAAAACAGAGTAAACAGAGCCCTGCATCACCAAACACACACCATTAGGTGTGAGTAAAAACACCATACATTGTTCGAAAATACACCATTGGGGGTGGTGAGTTATATGGTGTGTTTTTTTGAGTCTGTGGTGTATTTTGTGATGTTTTATTACATTTCATTGGGGTGTGTTTTTATTACACTGTTGGTGCATATTGTTAACACTGTTGGTGTATTCTGGAATTTGACCGCACCGCCGCACCGTAAGACCCCGCCGCATATGAGCGCTCTTCTATATATATATATATATATATATATATATATATATATATATATATATATATATATATATATATATATATATATATATATACACACACACACACACATTTTATCAACAAATTAAAGAATGTTTGAAAAATTAATAATCATCACTAATGGTACCCGGGTTGGACTTCCATTTGAAAGATTATGAGTTAGAGCCTCAGTGGAGGCGTTATTGGTTCTTGTGTTTCAATAGATTGAGAAAGTATATGAACAGATACTACAATGTAATAGAGCCAGTAACTTTCAAAAAAATAATAGAATCTTTAAAAAAAAAAAATTTAATACGAGGAAATAAAAGAGCAAAGAAACAATAATGATATGTATAACCCTCCTCTGAACACACCTGACCGTTTTTATTTGACCACATCTTCTTATTTGTTTGACCGTTTTTATTTGACCACATCTTCTTATTTGTTAGATTCTGGCTATGAATTATTCGTAAATTAAATATTCTTATTTCATGTATAAAATAATAAGCTTTCCTTATCCGGGATTTTTAAATTGAGTTCTACTACATAGACTCTCAAATCATATCTCTTAAATTTTATTTTTTGATGTGACAGACACTGATAGATTACCTTTTTATGTAGATTTCAATATAAGTGTCTGTTTCAAAAATTTTGTGTGTAAAAATAAAAATTAGAAGTATAGAATTGGAGTACATGTACATGTAGTATTTTCCTTTTAAGTTAGAGGAATCGAAGTAGGATTGTATGACTGTGATGGCACATGCATGTCGGCTGTCTTATAATGATGCCTTTTGGTTGTAATCATGGAATTAAAGAGTAAAAGAAATAATAATTTTGTAAAATAAAAAAGTGAAAATAAAATAAGAATTTAAATTGTATTATTTGGTAGACGGAAATAAAAGTATTAAGAATTTTAATTATAATATTTGGTATATATGAAAGAGATAATTTCACCAAAGGTTTCTTGTTTTTTGTGGTAATTCTAAATTTAATTCCAAATTATTATTTTTGTCATTTAACATCCCTAGATTATTATTTTTTAGACTTTCTAGTCCTTCTCATCACTTTTACTATTTTTAGTAAATGCATTTTTGTCTCTTCATATTTTTCTTTTGTTATTTTTCTGGTTTCAACCGGTTTAATTGGTTTATAACTTTAAGATTAAACTCATGCGTTAATTTCAATTTTGAATTCTGAATTTAATCTCACTTAGTGGGCTGCTGTTTCAGGTGTTACAAATTGGTTTTAACACCAGTTTAAATGCCATATATTAAATGCTATTTAACCCAACAACCCTGTATAAGGGCATCCTCAATAGTGAGAATCTTGGTGTAGTTTTTTAGAAGTTTTTTGGTGTGTGATTAGGAAAGAGAAATGGGTAAAGGGGGGGGGGGGGGGGGGGGGGGAAGAAAAGAAAAAATAAAAAACAAAAAACAAAAAAAAAATTGACAAAATCCATCAAAACCTCCCAAAATCTCCAAAATCCTGACGAAACTCCCAAATTTGCAAGACCACCCCAACCTTCTTTCTCCTCTCTCCTCTCTCCTCTACATAAACATCTTTTTCTTATTTCTTGTGCAAAATCCCCTTATTTGGGATGCCCTAAGAGAGGGTAGAGCAGCATAAAATTTATAGAACAAGAAATCATAGTTTTCTAGCTCCATCTGTTTCTACTCCTTTTTTTAGCCAATTGTGTTCTATACTTTGCTTTTATTTGCCGGATTCTTTGTTTGGGTGTTCAAACACTGAATCGTAGCACGATTTATCTTGAGAAACTTAGGCTACAACGCTCCTAGGTAGCAAATAAGATTTTAAGGAAAAGAACGATTCGTTCAACTCGTGCTAACCTCTAACGAATCTTCCACTCTTTCCTTCCCAAATTTTTGCCTATATTTTTCTAATAATAATCTTTTCGTAGGATTATTATTTTAAAGATTTTCTACCTTTTATATATATATATATATATATATATATATATATATATATATATATATAAACAACGAAAGTACGAAACTGTGTAGGCGGGTTTAGCCGTCCCATGTTCCAGTCCTGTTACTCTCATTGTCTCTTCACAGTACTAGGCAACGCGGTGTTTAAGCCCGTCAACGGTGTTCATAAGCCCGTCAACGGTGTTCATAAGCCCGTTGCTTAGTACCGTGAAAGTAATTAGCAACAGAACATATGATTAATGATTAGTGTTCACGAGCTTCCTAAGCCCGTGAACATATGTGTATTCTTTTTAATATAAATTCTATAATATTATGGTTCACCATAAATCGGGTATAAAAATATAGAACGGGATAGAAAAGTAGTAACTTTATTATTGATCGTGGTGCTACTTTCAACTGGTTTAATTGGTTTAGAACTTTAGGTAATCTCTAATTTTTAGTAACCATATTTTTCAACCAATTTTTAGTAAAGTCCTAAACGAATTAAACCGGTTGAAACTAGAAAAATAACAAAAGAAAAAAAATATGAAGAGATAAAAATGCACTTACTAAAAATAGAAAAAAATCACGAGAATAATTAAAATTGTCCAAAAAATAATAGTATGAGATGTTAAATGTTAAAAATGATAGTCTAAAACTAAATTTAGAATTTTCACCAAAGACGAGTGACCTTTGGTGGAATTAACTCCTTTTTAAATTATGTACATTATTTTGATCTTGTTTGTTATTTGGAATTGATTGATTCAAACCCGTTCCAATTTGTTCCATCATTAAATTTAAATTAAATAAATTGTATTAGTGCATGAACCATTAAACCCTCTAATTAATAATTGCCACTTTCCTTGAACACATGCACGTGCTATGTGTTTATTTAATGCCATTTTCCTATTTATTAGGTTATGTCGCTGTGGACTACTATATATATTGTTAATTAAGTATTCTGATTTTGTGTATAAAATAATATAAGTTGTCTTTATCTGAACAATAATATAATACTTTTAAGTTAAATAAATCAAAGTAGGGTTGCATGAATATGATGTACATTGCACTTGCATTTTGGTGGCGTTTTCTAATCTTGTGCTAAAAAGCCAAGATGTGGGCCCGGGCACTCTATAAGAGAAACCTCAATGGCAAGAGCGAGAAGAGAGATGAGGAAAAAAGATGGGAAAAAATATAATTGACAAAAAAAAAAAAAAAAAGGTTATATTTATGTGTCTGTTATTAGGCGCGACAGTTGCACCATACACGCAAGCTGCCCAATATTCCCTAATTAATGGATTCCACAAAGAATTATTATTTGCAAGAGAAAAGTGTTAAAATTGAATCAAAATTTTTTCTTCTTCTTCCAATAATTGCCCTAAAAAATAACGAATACTAGTTAGTTTACATCATTTTTTTTCAAAGAAATGGAAGGATACACCCGAGGTCAATATCTGACCCTAACAATGTTCTCATCACCCAGAGTTCCCAGCTCATCTTGTCGAAGGAGCTTCTGGATGTCAGCAGGAGGATTCATGAACCACTCTAACGTATTGGTATGCTAATTTACATCATTACACATTAATTCGTGAATAAAATAACATTTTTAACCAGGACTATGTGGTCTAATGGTATCCGGGTTGGACTTCTATTTAGAAGATTATGAGTTTGAGCCTCAGTGGAGGCGTTATTGGTTCTTTATGTTTCAGTAGGTTGAGAAAGTATATGAACAGATACTACAATGTAATAGAACCAGTAACTTTCAAAAAAAAAAAAAAACATTTTAAAGAATATATTCATTTCATTGTTACAAATTATTCATCTTGTAAGGAAAATAGCTTATTCAATTTCAAGAGAAGATATAATATTGAACTACTTATAAATTCCCAATAATAGCTTATTTCCATTTTCAAAAAAAAGTTATTTCTAAAATAAGATACGTTTACTCTCGTTATCGCCCTGCCATCCGCGATTTTTCCATTGTCATTGGTTCATTGCCAAATCATCCATATTATTTATTTATAAAATATTTTAAATGTTTTCCACTCTACTACAATGTCTTCTAAATCATCCATGTCATTAGTGAGAACTGATGAACCCATATTATTTATTTATAAAATATTTTAAATGTTTTCCACTCTACTACAATGTCTTCTAATTAATATTTCAATTCGTTTATTTTATTTTAAGTATTGAATATCATTTGAAAACAAAATACTACTACAACTCTTTTAATTTTTATTTATATTGGTATGTCTTTTTATTTTATTTATTTAATTAAATATTTTAAAACAATGTAAAAAGTAATTTTATTATAGAGTTTAATACAACATACTTTTGGAAACTTACAATTTAAGTTTTTTTTTTTTTTTTTGAAAGTTACTGGCTCTATTACATTGTAGTATCTGTTCATATACTTTCTCAACCTACTGAAACACAAAGAACCAATAACGCCTCCACTGAGGCTTGAACTCATAATCTTCCAAATGGAAGTCCAACCCGGATACCATTAGACCACATAGTCCTGGTAATTTAAGTTTATTTAATTAAACATTTTTTCCCCAATTTTAAAAGTTATGTATATTTCAGCAAACTTGAATTTTGATGTAAATCATTTTATACCCAAAAAAAAAAAAAAAACAAAAAAAAAAACAAAAAATTATTGCTTAAAGTAAACATTTTATTTATTTATTTTCTCCAACAATTATTGCTTATACGTAGGGATGACCACGGTTCGGTTCGAACTGAACCAGACACTATAGCTGTCGAATTGAAAGTTTCCGGTTATGATTCAGATCCAGAACCCAATATTTTGATTTCAGTTTATTAAAATTATGAATCGAAAAAACTGGATCCTGAATTGTGAACCGGCGGTTCTGGATCAGGTTCGCGATTTTTAACCGTCTTTATTTTAAAATTTTATTTTTTATTTTTAAAATAGTCTAAATTTAACAATAAATGTATTTTTTCAGTTCGGAACATGAACCCGTCGTTCCGGTTCGCAATTTTAATAAACTCCAAATATCAGGTTTCGATTCTAAATTGTAATTGGAATATTTCGGTTTGGTTGCTATAGTGTCTGTTCAGTTTGAACCAAATCGTGGTCATCATTTGTTGGAGAAGAAAAATAAATGAAATATTTATTTTAAGGGTAAATATATCTATTTAACATTTCAGGAAGAAAAACGACCACTTGAATAATTCAAAGGGAAAAAAATGCTATAAGTATATAAGTCAGGGAAGAAAAATACTATTTTCCCTATAAAATATAAAAGGTTCATACGATTAAAATCATCACCACAAAACAGAATTTAGCAATATATATGTTTTTATATATTGATGTAGCAGTTTTTCCCGATGGGGAGGTGGGTTTTGTCTCAGCCGTATCTCATGATGGTGGTATGAGGTTTCTAGCGGCTATAAGTGATTCGGTCAGATGCATGCAATACCCTATTTTAGCCGAGGTTATGGTAATCAAGGAGGCTCTTTCATGGGCTAGGGGGTGTGGATGACAGAAGTTAGTTTTCTTCTCTGACTGCCAATTGGTTTGCAAGATGCTAGCAGAGACTTCCTCTCCAAATTACTCTTAGAGTCTTACATTGGCTGCGTTCTCAAGGATTAACTTAATCTTAAACGACAATTTGGTGTTGTGTCGTCATTCTGTTTTGTTCCTAAATCAACGAATAAGTTAGCTCATACTTTGACAGGGACTGCGATTTCTCAATCTGGTCCTCGTATTTGATTTTCGGTTTACCCTACATGTATTCAACACTTGGTTATTAATGGTTAATATATATCAAATTTTTGCTTTCAAAAAAAAAAAAAAAAGAAAAAAAAAACACTAATACGACAACTTAACTACTCAAGTGATTTATGTGTCACCTTTCCATGAGAATCAATCTAATGCATTAAAAAAACAGATCTATGAATGAGATCAATTGAGAGTTCAAAATTTGTGTGTGCATATGAGGCATATGCTATGTGCAATTAGGGGTTTCAAAATTTGCTGTGCATATTAAGCATGCGTTGTGTGCATGTGTTATGTGCAATTGATGAATTCAAAATTCGCGTGTGCATATTAAGCATGTGTTGTGTGCAACATATGATATACACACATCACATGTCACATTGGCACAAAATTAAATTAGTTTAATTTTGTCAAATTATAAAACACGTACCATACTTTTTATTATTTTTAGTATTCAACAGTTTTTCTATCAATTTAGAAGCGATGTCATATTATCTATATCAATTATTTTTATATCTTTTGGTGAGGTTTATTTAGTTAACCTGTAATGAAAAATGGCTAATAAAAAGTAGAGAAATTTTATAATATCATGAGTCGCAAAAGTTATATGTTTTGTAAAATTATGCATTGTGTTTTATTATCAGTACATAATTAAAGAAACTACAATATACAATTGTACAAATATACAACATTTTAATTCACAACATTGAAAACGTTTTTATATAAATAACATTTTCTCAAAATTTAATGTACTTTACATATATGTATTTTATTTAAAAAAAAAAAAGAAAAAAGAAAAAAGAGAGTATACAAATGGGAATTAAAAAGGTGTGTACTGATTCTGGGCACGGGAGGATTTTGTGAATCTAGCTATCCTCATGTGTTATGGTTACGTATCAAGGCAGAGGCAGAACAATAGAGATGACAATGGGATCCATCATCCGACCCACCTTATATTTTTTTATCCATTCAAACGTCGATCGAGTTTAATTCAGCTCGATTCGAGACATGGTGTTGTGACTTACTATGAATAAATGTAGTTAAATGGTTAATGTTCACTTATCACCAATTAATTTGAGTAGAATATGATACTAAATAGTCAAAAAAATTATGTGGTTAAACGTGTTTGAGTTACATCAGTCACAAAATAAATGGTCCATTTTAAGACTCATCTCGACCCATCACCCACTATCACTTAAAAAATTCAATACATACAGAATAGATTCAAGTGAATATTTGTGGGATGGATTGAAATTGTTGTCCCTAGATACCGTGGAGCCCACAAGGGGAAGAGGTCCCGTGGTCCGTATGTATATACGCGGGGACCACACGTGACCCTCACGAGACAGCGGCTGGCGAGCACAGAATACGAAGCAGTAGTGTGTGGTGCGTTCCGGGTGGCTTCAAGATCCCCCTTGCATCCACTTGAGATTTGGTTTGAGTGGGAGAAGTTTTGTTCAAGTGCCGTGGCCAACTTTTCTGGCTTCTCTTCTCCACATGCTTTGCTCACCCTCCATGCCCATGGCGACGCATTCTTCCTCCTTTTCTCACCAAACCCACACGTCTCTCAAACCCCATGCAATCCTCATCTCAATCTTTCCCTTCTTCCTGCTCTTTTTGTGTCCAGTTATCGCATTTTCTGGTGATTATTCACACTTTTTTTTTGCATTCCTTGTGTTTTTATGTATGTGAAAATCTGCAATCTTCAGACCCTTTGAATCTTTGATGCAATCTGGTTACTTTTTTGAGCATATTGGAATATGTGTTCACTGATTTGAAGATTTGGGCCTTTTGGTGACTGGTTATTCACTACTTTTCTAAATGTCTTGTGGATGGAACTATTATATGGGATGATTTGTTTCTGATAAAGGTTTAAGGATTTTTATTATTATATCCATTAATCTCGCTATCCTGTTTGTAAAGGGTATAGACAAGATTGAATCTTTTTGCTTCACTGATCTTCTTAGGTTGAATTAAAATAGCATGTCAAAAGTCATGTTTGATTGGTATGTTTATGGTGAGGGTGTCATTCTGGGCAATGGTATTGTATTGTTTGGTATTGTCAAGTGTTCTAGTTTGATGCCTTTTACATCATTTCTGCCCCTAATTTTGATTCAATCTGTCATTGTCAATTCATTATTATTCTGTGCTCTCTATTTCTGTGAGCAGTACTTTAATTAACTATATTAATTAACCAGGTTCTGAAAATGGAGTAGGCACAAAATATGATTTGTTTCCACAAATCCTAAAGGAGGAGGCTGTGTCAAGGCTATATGAGCTTGGAAAGGTATTAGCTCATTTCGCGATAAAATAATCTTCTTTTTAGTTATGTGTGTAGCCTAATGATTCCCGCTACTTCGATTTGATTTGATTTGTTTTTTTTCTCTATGTCCATGGATGTGTTGTTTTGGTGGTGATACTTGATTAAAAATTGCCTGTCTGGTTATCCTTTATTTCATCGGGAACTCCATTGTCACGTGACTTGGCAGGTTAGTGATGCGGATAACTATCTAGAGAGGACTTTCCAAAGCCCAGCTTCGGTAAGAGCTGGAAACCTGATCCGTTCATGGATGGAGGATGCGGGTTTGAGAACGTGAGTTTGGCCTTGCTCGCACTTTTTGCATAATGTTTCAGAAACTAAATTGTGGTTGCCACTAATTCCAGATGGATAGACCAAATGGGAAATGTTCATGGTCGAATTGAGGGGATTAATCCAAGTGGGAAGGCTTTGTTAATTGGCTCTCATTTGGTAAAGCAATTTACCTTGCGTGTTATTGAAATAGTCTTTGCTTAACCATAAGCTTATTTGTGCTTGCACCGAAACTGAAGATGACCCGTTGTGTGTTCCTAACAGGACACTGTTATTGATGCTGGATATTTTGATGGCTCGCTTGGAATAATAACCGCGATATCTGCATTGAAGGTTTTGAAAACAACCGGGCGATTAGAGAAACTAAGCAAACCGGTGGAGGTGAGATTCATACAATCTTTCTAGAAAGGTTGATCTGTGTTAACATGCTGATATGCTATATCTTTTTAGTGGTTCTTGTCGCCTCCATTAAGGCACAAAATCCACGTTATTAACATTCAATGATTCGTGCAAAGTAACCAGCTTGGTTGGCGTGAGTGGCCGTGCACTCTAATCCCTTAAGAGAAGTCGGGAGTTCGAACCCCCTCTCGTATGGAAAAACCAATTTGGCATTCTGGCCAGCACTTTGCCCTTAATTGGGCCAGCCCAGTGCGAATGGTGATTAGTTTGAGTATGGTACGGGCTTAAAGGTGCCTCCTACAGTTAAGGCCTGCTCAGGACACCTCATGGTCTGACCAAAACAAAAAAATGATTGGGGGGGGGGGGGGGGTGAATAACAAATTTTACCAAAAGCGGGATATACTCATTCCAAAGTACACCACTAAATTTGCTTATCTAATGTCAAATTCTTTATTTCCTGGGCCTTTTGCAGGTTATTGCTTTCAGCGATGAGGAAGGAGTTAGGTTTCAGTCGACCTTCTTGGGTAGTGCGGCTATTGCCGGTACATTACCAGTTACAACATTGCATATACATGATAAGGGGTCTGCTTGAGTAACTTTAAAACTTGTATATACGCATATAAAAGTTATTCTTTAGTACATTAATATTATGCTATTTATTGCAGTGGTGTGACAATGCAAAGCGCTCTCAGAAAAAACTCTATAGATATTACAGAAGAAAACCTATTGAAGCTCAAATACGACCAAGAATCTGTTTCAGACTATATTGAAGTATGTTGTCAATTTTCGTACTGTGTGATAGCACTTATAGCACCTATTGAAGCTCGAGTTGTTCATATTAATTCTGTTTTTGCAGGTTCATATTGAACAGGGTCCCGTGTTAGAGAATCTTGGCCTTCCTCTTGGTTTAGTTAAAGGCATTGCAGGACAGACAAGGTTAAAGGTACATTGCTTTTACCAATTCTTTAACTCTCCGTTTTATTTTATTTTTCCGTTTTTTGAATGAACCTATGGGTTTTCCCTCCGTCACACGATGCCCGCTTCTATTATTTTACCCGTACTTGAAATCTTGGATTTGTTGTAAGATGAAGTGTTATATATATATATATATATATATATATATATATATATATATATATATATATATATATATAAGCCACTTTTCAAGTGAGTCCACCCCTTCCCATGAGTCCGTGTGGACATATCTGACCATTGATCTCTAGCTTTTAATGGACCAGATCTGTCCACACGGACTCATGGGAAGGGGTGGACTCATTTGATCATGACTATATATATAAAATTTAAGCTGGCATTAGATAGGTTCGTCGTATACCAATTTCATGACATTGCAGGTGACGGTGAGAGGCACACAAGGGCATGCAGGAACGGTACCCATGGCTATGCGCCAAGATCCTATGGTTGCATCTGCTGAACTGATTGTATTATTGGAAAACCTTTGTAAACAACCCGAGTATTATCTCTCCTATGACGATGAATGCCAGACATCAACGGTGAAATCTCTTGCAGGGTCTCTCGTCTGTACTGTTGGAGAAATTTCAACCTGGCCAAGCGCAAGTAACGTCATACCAGGCCAGGCAAGTGCTCCTGAAACCTAGAAATTATTCCATTTGTATAGAAAAGCACATGAATATCCAATGATATAGTTGCCATTTGCATTGGTTTTACACAACAATCACAATCTGATTTCCCTTGGAAATGTCTTACGTGCTTGCAGGTGAAATTCACTGTAGACATAAGGGCAATGGATGATACAGGACGAGAAGCTATCATCTATGAATTTTCGAACCGCATGCATCAGTTATGCGACAAGCGCAACATTTTTTGTGTCATTGAACGCAAGGTGCGAGATTGTCTCATTTTATGGCATTTACATGCACCCAATGTTGAAAAAATTGCAAAAAGGCGCCTGGGGACCGCCTAGGGCGCCTAGAACGCCTAGGCGGGCGCCTAGGCCGCCTAGGAGGCCGAGCGCCTGGGCGCGATTTTTGCAACACTGCATGCACCCACCAAGAATCCGGTTCACATGAGAACTGTGCCTTAGGTGAGAACGTGAGAATTGCACGAAAGCACTGTAACTACTCAATCTTCGTCAAAGGTTTCCAGGCATGCCTGGAGTAGTTGCGGAGCATTCATGCAGTTCTCACGTTCTCACCTAAGGCATGGTTCTCACGGGAGCCGGGCCCCACCCACCAATACGTTTCAAGACTAATATAACCAAACGTCGGGATTGTTTCAGCACGATGCAAATGCAGTGGTTTGCGATCGCGAACTGAGTTCGCAGCTAAAATCTGCAGCACACACCGCTTTTACAAGAATTACCGGGGAGACAACCGACGATGATGTGCCTGTACTGATGAGTGGAGCTGGGCACGACGCAATGGCCATGTCTCGTCTAACCAAGGTACGTTCTTACTCAGCCTCAACGGTGAAGAATGGATCTTTAGAGGTGATCGATTTTGCTTTCGTGTAACAGGTCGGGATGCTATTTGTGCGCTGCCGTGGAGGCATTAGTCATTCCCCCGAAGAGCACGTGTTGGACGACGATGTTTGGGCAGCTGGTATGGCAATCTTGGCGTTTCTGGAGACGCTCTTGTAAGTACTCGCTCAATCCAAATACCCACGGGAGAGCCCCCTCTTGATTCATTCGATTGATTCAACGAGCCGACGGGAGAGCCCCCTCTTGATTCTAGTTGATTCAACTAGACTCGGCTGAATTAGTCTCATCTTGTATAATATGGATATTAGCACAATATGAAAAAAAAAAAAAAAAAAACCTTTGTAGGAAACATTGCCTAGCAATTTTATTCTACAATTGTGAATATGCAATAAAGTCAGTGGTCTTTATTTTGTCTTTGTTGGGATTTGGGAGTGTCTATCTAGTCGGTTGATAAAAATGCGGTTACATTGTATAATATTGAAATGGTTTCTAATATTATTTAATTCTGTTTGTTGGTTTTAATACTATTTAGAAATAATAAATGTCAAATAGGTAATCCAACAAATCCTAATTAGACATGTTAGGATTATAGTGAAATAATGTGGAAGTGAATAAAATGATAAATTTGGAATATGAAATTGATGGATTAAATTAACATTGGTGACCAAATTACTTAACTCAATAATAGAGGAAGTAATATAGATAAATGAATAACAATATGAAAAAGACAAGAAATTTGTGTCGCGAAGAAAAAAATTGTTATTTGTACAAGTAAAGGTATTGTAGGATTATTACGAGTGAATGAATGATAGAATTGTAAATGTTCTAATGATACAATGCTATGTTTTTTTTTTTTTTTTTGAAAACGATACAATGCTATGTTAATTTATACTAAAGTAGCATTCTAACCAATCAAACGAGAGTAGGGCGCAGGTTTTGATCCACTTTGACCATGTTCGTAATTGAAATTGAGGCCGGCCTTGGCACACAGAGCGCACAAGGCTGAGGCTGGCCTCCGGGTTGTTCTCGTTTCTCCTCTGGTTGGTTGTCTCGAATCCATCTCCAATATATTTATCAGGTGTCTCCGGAGGCAAAGAAAGCTCTTCATCTTTAGGCTAGGGACATAGACACCTTCGTTTCTGACCAAGATCTGCATCTCTAAACTAGAGATTGGTTTTTACCACCGGAGACGAAGAATGTGTCTTCAGAGGCGAAGAAAGCTTTTCGTCTCTAGGTCAGGGACGTATACACCTTCTACCGAACGTATAGCAGTGGTATTGTAGAGTAATTTACTAATTTTTCACTCCCACAGCACCGTTACTCCCGAATTGTAGAACAGCGTCGTATTGGACCCGTGTCTATCTTACAAGGTGTAAGGTAGACACGGATCCATGACATAATAATCACGAAATGTCCAAAATAGACCCTAATTGTAGGAGGTACTTTTAAGACCGTATTAATAAATTGTTTCACAAGAAGAGTAACTAGGCTTGTCATTTGAGTTTCATCATAATTGAGCATTTGGTTCAAGAAATGTTTCGTGACAATTTTGGACATTTCACAGAAACTATCAAAATAATATAATAAAGAATTTGAAAAAATAAATTAAAAATTATTCCTTGTTGTAAATTATAATATATTTACATATGAATCTTATGTGATCGTGTGCTCGTATACTCAGAATAATACAAAGAAAAAGAAAAAGAAAAAGAGAAGAGAATGTTGAACTCAGGAACCCCAAAACCTCCTTCATTGGATAACCGCCAATATATAATTATATATACGTAGTTACGTACATATACATAGACGAAGGTTCAGGTGTGATGAACCCTTCCCGTGCGACGTTACCAATACTTAAACAAATATACACCATCAACGTTAGGAAATGCACCACAAAAACACACACAAATTAGGTATGCATCACCAAAAATACACCATTAGGTGTGAATAAAGCACCATACAGCGTTCTGAAATACACCATTAGGGGTGGTGAGTTATATGGTGTATTTTTTGGGTGTGTTGTGTATTTTTGGTGTATTTTTGCATTTCATTGTTGCGTGTTTCTCTTACACTATTGGTGCTTATCGTTAACACTGTTGGTGTATTCTGTAACTCCGCTGCACGGGAAGGGTCTGCCGCATTTGAAGTTTTTCCCATATACAATAATATGAAAACTGTATCAATCATGAAAGAGGGAAACCAGGATAATGGCCACAAAACAGTTATATTTACAACACTCATCTTGGTCATTATCTTACTACTAGTAATTGTCCCGTGCGCTGCACGGTAAATAAATTGTAAATATTTAATTTATGCTTGTTATATTATAAATTGTGTGAAAACGCTTTAATTTATAATTTTTAGAGAACCGAAAAGAAAAAATAATTTTTTAAGGAATCGGGATCTCTTGAACTTGAGCATTCAACAGAATATCATCAACAAATATCAAAAATCCACAACCATTTTCCTGTTTATATCAAAAGACTCATATAAATTAACCACATACCTAACTGATTTTTATATCAATAATTGTAATCTAACCTTCCACTGTTGACAACCAAAGAATTTCTGTTAACTATCACGTGCTACACATAACGGAGATTTCAACCCACATTTGCAATACAAAGCGGGCTCATATTGCAAGTTTAAAATTACTCCTAGTAAAGTTGGATGAAGATGAAGAAAATGATCTTGAATTTGACGAAGACATTATTCTAGAATTCATGCGTCATTAAAAACATTCCAAGGAAAATCCTATAGGAAAAATCTAATTGAAGGAAAAAGAATACATGATGTATTTCAAAACATGTGCTATACAGAGTTGTCTCATTAAAAACCTTCGGCTAAGAAAAAGAAAAACCCAGTGAAAAAAAATGTAGCTAAGGAAAATAGAATACAACCATAAACCAATATGGCATAATCATCAAGATTTTTGGTTTATTTGCAACTTTCCGTTTTTGACATTACTATTTCATACTCATGCCTTATTAAACACTTCACAAGAAAAGCCTTATGAAAAACCTAGTGAAGGAAAAAGTACATGATATGTATGCATTCATGTGTTGCACTAGCTCCCTTGTTAAAAAAACCTTTAATTAAAACCTTCATTGGATATCCGCCAATAATATACATATACAATATACAATAATATGAAACTGTATCAATCATGGAAGAGGGAAACCAGGATAATGGCCACAAAACAGTTATATTTACAACACTCATCTTGGTCATTATCTTACTATATTCATGTTTCATTAAAAATCTTGCAAGGAAAATCCAATAGGAAAAATCTAATCGAAGGAAAAAGAGTACATGATGTATTTCAAAACATGTGCTATATGGAGTTGTCTCATTTTGTAACTTTCAACCAAAACAAACAAAAATTATTTTCAAACTTTCAGCGAAACATCAAATTGCAATTAGGCCATCGAACTCAAAAAATAATGCAATTAGGTCCTTGAATAATACAAAATCATGCAATTAGGTCCAAAATGACCTATTACCTGTAAGAGCGGTTACCGATTTTTAAAATACTTAATTAAAACTAAATTAAAAAAAATCAAAAAAACAAAAAACCTAAACTACTGTCTTCGTCTCCATGGCTGGTGGTCTTCGGCCATGGACCTTCGTCTCCATGCCTGGAGATGAAGGAACCTTCGTCTTCGGCCATGGAGATGAAGTTACCGATAGTTTAGGTTTTTTATTTATTTTTATTTGTAATTAATTATTTTATTTAAAATTATTTTAAAAATCATTTTTAAAATTAATAACCGCTCTTTCTATAAACAAGTCATTTTTAGACTTAATTGCATGATTTTGCGTTGTTCAGAAACCCAATTGCATTATTTTTAAATTTGATGGTTTAATTATAATTTGGTGTATAGTTGAGTGGTCTATTTGACCCTTATTCCAAAAATCTTTTTATATATTTCTAAAGAGATTTTTTTTTTTTTTTTTTTTGGAAGAATTCTAAAGAGATCCTTAAAATAGGAAGATTGGGTCGAATTGGTGTGGAGTGTGGTCCAACGGGGACTATTATGCTAAAATCCAAACGGTTCGCAAAACCCCATTTTGGAGGGTTTAGGGTTTTTGTAACATATATTTGACCGTTCTTCATGATCCTCGTAGACTTCGCACTACCCTTCTGCACGTACTTTAACCTAACATTTTAGGTGCCAACCTTCGGAGTTCAGACGCACCACCACGCCATCAAACTTCAGTTTTGGGTAATTCCTTCCCCCATGTTTTTACATCTTATATGTGTGTCTCTGTGTATATGCGTCTCTTTGGAAACCAACAAATTGGGAGATTGTCGACAATGGGCGGTTCAGTAATCTTTGTTTCTGTGGAACCATCTTGCGGACAATGGTCAAGGAGTTAGAGAGACTCTCAGAGGATAGGCTTAAGTCATCATAAAGAAGCCATTTTATTTTTCTTGTTCAAAAATGTCTAATTCAATCAAAAGGATCCTACCTTGATACCAAATCATGTTCAGATGACTTCACTTATCAGTTTTAGTGGCTTAATGTGAAACCAGTGGATCTTCCAAAAGTATCTTCATGAAAAAGCATTCTGGAAGTTGATGGTGCTAGGCCTTATTGAAATATAGATAGATAGATAGATAGATATGATAATTTCCAATGCATAATTGTAAATGGTAACAGTTATGATTACCCATAACCAAATGAGACATATACATCATTCACTTATATACATGTGTTCATATTAACCAATCCTGGCCAACCTTCATAATGTCTCTTGATCTTTTCACCTCCTTTTAGGTCTTAAATTTGTTGATCTTCTGTAAATTTTGTTTTATAGCATTGCCCAGGTTAAGAATCTCTCTGCCCTTTTTATCTTTAAATCTATATTTTTTCTAGCTATATATGTTAAATGGGCTATTAGAATGTCTAATCCTTTTTGTAAACTCCTCAGGTACTGGTGTGTATGCCCACTAGATGCCTACTATTCTGATATGTTGATTTTTTCGTCTGATTTTAATATGATTTTGCACATAGTTTGTTTAGTATGGGCATTAGCCACTTATCTTAATATCATTTAATTACCAATTGGAGATTTGCTATGTAGATTTTGGTGGTGAAGGTATATGGGCATTGAAATGTAATATATCATTATGCAGGCATCATGGCTAGAGCTATAGTTCAGTCAACTAACTTCCCTTCTTCGGTTGCTGGTCAAAGGATTGGACAATTTAAAGGACCCGAAAAAGGGAGGACAGTTAAAATGATGTGCAGTTTACAGACAACTTCTTCAAGGCTTAGAGCTTTCACAGGACTAAGGGGATGCAATGCTTTAGATACAATAACTAGACCTAGGCACACCACACTCCATTCCAAGGTGGCAGCAGTGACCTTTACTAGAAAAGGAAGAGGTAGCCGGTTTGTAGTTAAAGCTATGTTTGAGCGCTTCACAGAAAAAGCTATAAAAGTTATTATGCTTGCCCAAGAGGAGGCTAGGCGTCTTGGGCACAATCATGTTGGAACGGAACAGATTCTCCTGGGTCTCATTGCCGAGGGAACTGGGATTCCTGCTAAGGTTCTTAAATCCACGGGCATTAACTTAAAAGATGCTCGTGTTGAGGTGGAGAAGATAACTGGAAGGGGGAGTGGGTTTGTTGCTATTGAGATCCCTTTTACTCCTCGGGCAAAGCATGTCTTGGAACTTTCTCTAGAGGAATCTCGACAACTAGGTATCTTTTTTTCTGCTTGCTTTTATACATCCTGTTCTTTTAGTATCTTAATAGACTGGTGCATTTTGTTTTCAACTGTCAAGTTATTTTGTTTTGGGCTGTATTGTCTAATTTGGTTGGTTGCCTTGTTTTTTAGGCCATAATTATATTGGAGCAGAGCATTTACTGCTTGGGCTGCTTCGTGAAGGTGAAGGTGTGGCTGCTCGTGTCCTTGAAAACTTGGGCGCTGACCCAGCTAACATTCGTACGCAGGCAAGTATTATATTCTTAAAATGATTGCATTTTTTTGGGGGTGAGATTGGGGTGTGGAGATGGACCTGTTTGGTTGTGTATTCTGATGTTATTTTAATTTTTATTTTCAATAGGTCATTCGAATGGTTGGTGAGAGTGCCGAGGTTGTTGGTGCTAGTGTTGGAGGAGGAAGTTCAGGCCAAAAGATGCCTACATTAGAGGAATACGGCACCAACTTGACCAAGTTAGCTGAGGAGGTAATTTATACGGAGTAATTTTTTTGGGTATTAAAACAATTGATGATAAACTCTTAATAAAGCTAATTTTTATATGATCATTTCAATTTTAAAGGGGAAACTAGACCCTGTGGTTGGAAGGCAGGAACAAGTTGAACGGGTCACTCAAATTTTGGGCCGACGTACAAAGAACAATCCTTGCCTTATTGGAGAACCGGGTGTTGGGAAAACGGCCATTGCTGAGGGTTTAGCTCAGCGAATTGCAAATGGTGATGTTCCGGAAACAATAGCTGGAAAGAAGGTATATTACAGCATTTTATGATTAGTGTATTTTTTGAAGGAAAGAAGATGCATCTTGTATTTTTCTTGTGCTTTTCACAAGTTTGGATATATGAGGACTGTTATCCATTTTTGGGGATGTTGTTATTTTCCTATACTCATTGGTTGTGTGTAGGTTATAACCCTAGATATGGGCCTTCTTGTTGCTGGGACAAAATACCGTGGAGAGTTTGAGGAAAGGCTGAAAAAGCTAATGGATGAAATTAAACAAAGTGATGATATTATACTTTTCATTGACGAAGTGCACACGTTGATTGGAGCAGGAGCAGCCGAGGGGGCAATCGATGCTGCAAACATTTTGAAACCTGCCCTAGCTCGGGGTGAACTTCAGGTTAGTAATTATAAATAAGTATTTCATATCCATCCTCTACCTGAGTAGGAGCAGAATTGTTCGGGAAGCTTTTGCTTCTCAGCGTATCTATTGTTCGACTTGTTAGTGTATTGGGGCTACTACACTTGATGAATACCGCAAGCATATAGAGAAGGATCCAGCATTAGAGAGAAGGTTCCAACCAGTTAAGGTCCCCGAACCGACTGTGGGTGAAGCAATACAGATCCTGAGAGGGCTTCGGGAGAGATACGAAATTCACCATAAACTCTGCTACACCGATGATTCTCTCGTTGCTGCTGCCGAGCTTTCACACCAGTACATCAGGTATGCATCCTTTTTTTTTTTTTTTTTTTTTTTTTTTTTTTTTTCCTTTTAATTTCCTTTGATTCTCTGATGCATCTTATGACATAAATATTTTCAGTGATCGTTTTCTTCCTGATAAAGCAATTGACTTGATTGATGAGGCTGGCTCTCGTGTTAGACTTCAGCATGCACAGGTCTGTACTGGTTTTGCTTGTACATTATTGTCTTTTTACTTCAGTCGTCTCTGTTAACGCTGCTTTTGTCCCGCAGCTTCCGGAGGAAGCTAGAGAGCTTGAGAAAGAGCTAAGGAAGATAACAAAGGAGAAGAATGAAGCTGTCCGTAGTCAGGAATTTGAAAAGGTGATTTGTTCTGTTTTATTTCTGCGGTTCCGTTTTTTCGTTTTAGCAAAATGTCATAATATCCATATCCTCTCTGCAAGTATATTATTATTAGTTTGGTGAATTGAAAACTGGTATATTTCCTTGACAAGTTATGTCAGATTGAACTAGCTTTGTCTTTGCTTTTCAGGCTGGGGAATTACGTGACAGAGAAATGGATCTTAAGGTGCAGATCTCGGCCCTAATAGACAAAAGCAAAGAGATGAGCAAGGCTGAGACCGAGGCTGGAGATGCAGCGGGTCCAGTTGTGACAGAAGCCGATATTCAGCACATTGTTGCCTTATGGACTGGTATCCCGGTTGCGAAGGTGTCAACAGATGAATCCTCCCGCCTTCTAAAAATGGAAGAAACGCTTCATAAGCGAGTTATTGGGCAAGATGAAGCTGTGAAGGCCATTAGTCGTGCGATTCGACGTGCTCGTGTTGGGCTCAAGAACCCCGACCGGCCTATAGCCAGCTTCATCTTTTCTGGTCCAACCGGTGTTGGGAAGTCGGAACTGGCTAAAGCACTGGCTACCTATTACTTTGGTTCTGAAGAAGCAATGATCCGGCTCGATATGAGTGAGTTCATGGAAAGACACACGGTCTCGAAGCTCATCGGTTCTCCTCCTGGCTATGTTGGTTACACCGAGGGTGGTCAGTTGACCGAGGCGGTTCGCCGCAGACCTTACACACTTGTGCTCTTCGATGAGATAGAGAAGGCTCATCCCGATGTCTTCAACATGATGCTTCAAATTCTCGAGGATGGAAGGCTGACAGACAGTAAGGGTAGAACGGTAGACTTCAAGAACACACTTTTGATTATGACATCGAACGTGGGAAGTAGCGTGATCGAGAAGGGGGGCCGTCGCATTGGTTTTGATTTGGGTTACGACGAGAAGGATAGCAGTTACAACCGAATCAAGAGCTTGGTGACCGAGGAACTGAAACAATACTTCCGACCCGAATTCTTGAATAGATTAGACGATATGATTGTGTTCCGTCAGCTTACGAAACTCGAGGTTAAGGACATTGCCGACATTATGCTGAAGGAGGTCTTTCAGAGACTGAAAGGCAAGGAAATAGAGCTTCAGGTGACCGAGAGGTTCAGAGATAGAGTAGTTGAGGAAGGATATAACCCTAGCTATGGAGCACGGCCGCTAAGAAGAGCTATTATGAGGCTCCTGGAGGACAGCATGGCTGAGAAGATGCTTGCCCGGGAAATCAAAGAAGGCGACTCGGTTATCGTGGATGCTGATTCAGATGGCAACGTGACAGTCCTCAATGGCAGCGGTGGTGCTCCTCCTCCTCCTGCACCTGTTTCCGAACTAATCCCCGTTTAAATCTTTCATTGTTTTACCTTACCTGTCAAAAAAATTTGTTGTTTGTGCTGGTTGCTTCATTTGAACTGGCCTGGTCACTGGGGGTTTGAAAGGATTAGTTGGTGAAAGCCCTTTTTGCAGGAAACCTTACAGGGATGGATATACACACTTGAAGCTAGATGGAAGTAGTGCTATATAGAAGTTGAGAAATGATTAAAAATTTGCTTCCTAGACTAGATAGAATCAGTAAGTATTTTACCATACCATTGGATTTACACTTTTTGACATGAATAAATGCTTTCTTCTTGGCAAAATGTTGCAAAAATTCTGCCTATGCGCTGGCCGGCCGTCTAACTTATCACCATAACCGGTGGTCTAGTTGGCCGATTAGGTTTTTTTTTTTTTTTTTTTTTTTTTTTTTTTTTTAAATTTTTATTTTTATTTTTTTATACTCAAAATGATCATTTTGAATGAAATAACCTGTTGTTCAAAGTCTTGTTTTTGGTTAATATTTAATATTTTAGAATTAACTAGTAAAGTATTAAATAATTTATAATTATTAGTCTTAAAAAATTAAAAAAAATTAAAACATATTTAAAAAAAATAAAAAATACATGGGTGCCTATTTTTCAATCATGATTCTATGTATATTGTCAGTTCTTCGTCTTCAAGGTGACTTTTGGTAAAAGTGAAATTTGATTATCACAAATCTGTTTGCAGAATACATACCAAATAATCATCACAAAAATGCCATTAAAAGAATGAAACATTTGGTGAGTTTGGACCCAAAAGAATGAATCCTTGTGCTTGCATAGAAAGATTTGAGAACTTACAGAAAAGTTTTTGTACAAAAATAAGTCAGGAAACTGAGAGTCTGACTGCGCAATTTCATTGGCACACAGGCATAAAATGTGTGTAAATCCAAAATGTTGGCAAAGTGTATACAGATCTTGCAGCTAGTGAACATGGTGTCTTTAACTTTTGATGGTTTTTCAATATTTGCAGCATCAGAAATCAATGTTCCATTCAAGAATGTGTTCAAGTCTGAGCTGTAAGATGTGAAGAGTTTAAAGTAAAAATGAGTTTTGATAGAATCAATAGTTTGAATGTGACAATCACCTTGTGGTCTAATGGCACGAAATGATTCTCCCAAATGAGAGATCATGGGTTCAATCTCCAAAGGATGGTATTGACTCTTTGTGTTTTAGCAGGTTAAATGAAAAAGCCATAAGAATTCAGCCTATCACATGGCTCCAATTTCCCGCTCAGTAAAAACTACACCATTTTGCATATCTACTTTTGTGGTTACAGAATTTTATTATTTATTATTTATTATTTATTAATTCTCTATTCACAATAAGTGTATTTGCATTCCAATTGAATACTAAAGTCATACTTATCCACCGTTTTAAATTCCCCAAAATGTTGGAAGTTGTTCCAAACAATTCTTCTGGTACACGTTCAGTATTTACATATACATTTCGAATACACCTGAGCATGAATGCTGAGATTAAATAAATTAAATGAATAATTAAATAAATACAGTAAATTCAAATCAATTCAAAATCTAGAAGATATAAACTGTATGCAGCCTTTAATTTGTGTCGTTTCAGTATCCAATGTTGCTGCCATTATTTCTTTTCTTTTGAAGCTGATTATTTTTGAAACTCTACAACCTTCAAACATCTTCTATAAATTCTTCTATACACAAACAATCCACACTTTGCCATTAATCCTCTGCGTGTTTGTTCTTCGCTGCCCAGACTTTGCCATTGACACTCAGCACATTGAACCCAGAGCTCGGGTAGCTTCTACTCTATCTGAAAGTGAAAACTCAAAGAGATTCAGCAATAAACAATGTTTATTTTATGAAGCCACAGAGTTTTGGAACCACCATTGCTCTAAGGAGTTTGCTTCTTTTAAAAGAGGTAATTTTAATCAGTGTATTGTAATCAGTTCCTGGTAAATGTTTTAACTATTTGTTTATGAGGCCAAGTACGTTTTGATCTATCACTTCCTCTCCTATCTCCTACTAAATTACATCAGTGGTCCCTCTTTCTAACCAAGATATTATTTATGACGTTTGCAGAGTAATATTTATGTTTAGCGTTGATGGAACAGCCATTTTAAAGCTAAACTAGATAAAGAAAAAAATTAAAGATTGCTTTGCGACTTAGACCCATCAAGAAATTATCTGGCTTTATATCACGGTGTAGAAGTTCTCTGGCATGCATGTACTCAACTCTATCAATCTGGAAAAAGAAAAAATAGAATTAATAGGATAATCACAAATGGATAATATATAGATGAAGCATAGCATCCCGGTAAAATAAGAATGCATTACACGTGTTCAGCTAATAACTACTTACTGATTGAGCTGCAAGCACTTTTACAGCTTTTAGAGACAATTCCTATTGCAGTAGTTAAGAGATCTTCCAAACTTGGACCAAGAAGATCAATGACCATAACGTTTATATTCACCCTCAACTCTAAATAGGGAAATAAATAGTCAACCTGTTGTATGGAATGTGATTCAATCTACCGGCTCAATCACTGCTGCATTTTTTTACTATCAGACAATTTTGTATGCAATAGTCAGGAAACAGAAGATTGAAGAAGGCAGAACAACAAATATTGGAGCTGGTAAAGTGTATGCAGTACTAATAGTACTTAGATTTTTTCTATTGGTCATTCTATATTCTTGGATATTTGTTAAGTTGTTTTTTGGTGTTGATGTTGCTATTACTGTTTCAATAGAATGAGGTTTTTTTATTGGAACCCAGATCACTAACTGTGAAGACGATTCTCCAAATGCAGTTCAAATGGACTTTTGTTGGATTGTAGGAATTGAACAACATTGTGTAGGGTTGTGTTTACTAAGGAAGATGATGTATAAATAGTCAAACAGTTTAGTATTGGTCATTTCATTATTCATTTCAATTATTTGAACATTAATTTTGAATGGAGATGTAGTTAAAAAAACTAAAAAACAAAGGTTACGTGCATTAGTGTTCTAACTTCTAATGCATTGTACTTATTAGACTCAGTCAGCTCTTTTAGTGTGTTAGCTCCTTTTAATGTATAATTTTCTTCAGTTACCTACATACAAAAAAAAAATTGTTTGATATCATAATGCTCTGTTACTATTTTAATGTAATTAGGTTATTCTATTGTAACACAGTTCACTAATTAATGAACTGTGAAGAGGACTCTCCTAATGCTGATCAAATGAACATTTAATGCACTGCATTTCTAAGGACTCTGTTATAGCATTTGACAAGGATTCTGCATTGAGGGAGTTGGGTTGTGGATATTAATGGAGATCATGGATATTTTGTCAAGGAGTTTAGTATTGGTCATTTCTGTATTCAGTTCAATTATTTAAACATTACTATTATTTGTAGTTTTATTTAAAAAAACAAAAAGAAAGGCAACTATTCTAACATTACTATTGTATGAAGTTTGAAAGAGATGAGGAAGCTAAATGATTTAACAATTATTTGTTTCAAGAGAAAATATGAACATTTAAATAAAGGTATAATTACATTACAGATAACTGCATATCCTTCGTACATAACTTAAATTCTTATTTAAGTATGGTTAAAGTGTTAATTTTCTTTGTAAGTACTACGTAATAGTTACGGAATTTTAGTTTATTTTAACAAGTTATAAAATTGTAGCAATTAAATATTGTACAAAATTAAAAAATAGTTCTAATTTTGAAGATAAAGTACAATTTAAGAAATTTAGGTAGATATCAACAATTTTTAGGTAAAAATTTATTTTAATATCTCGGTTTTTCACAGCCTCTTGAATTCGCCAAACATAAATTTCTATAAAACTTTTTTATTTTCTTTTTTTTTTTTATCGTTCGGTTGCATTTTGGCTCATTGAAAATTTTTCCCAAAAAAATTTATATATATTTGAAGTAATATATATATTATTTGTATAACATAAAATTGTCAAATTAATATATATGCAATTTTATATAATTATTGTATATTAAAATTGAAATTAATTATTAGTCAATATATTATTGTTAATTTCATATCATATTTTTCTTTTGGAAAAAAAATGTGAAATGTGTTTAAGCTTATTTTAATTTAATTGTTCTTTGCAAAGAATTCAATCATATTATCAGCTACCAATTCTATATCTCATTAAAATAAGCTTAAACACATTTCACATTTTTTTTCTACATCAAGTCATAATAAGAGGCGTGTAGTTGGGCAGCTTGGTGGTTTTTTTTTTCTACGCCAAGTAGCACATTCAGTAATTGTACGAATATTCTAAAAACCTAATTAATCGTACTAAATTATCAAGTACAACTATACCAACGTTGACATTTACTCCTTCAGATCCAAGACTAACATTTAAATTTCAGAGTTTTCAATTATGTTATCATATGCAATTATAATCAACAAAAGTCAAGGTCAAACGCTTTCACATGTTGGTTTGTTACTGAAAAAATCCAGTTTTTAACTATGGCCAATTGTATGTAGCAGTTTCTAAGGTGAGCAATCCTAACCGTCTTAAAATCTTAATTTGTGAGAAATCTAGAGGTTTTTTAAACAATACTCAAAATGTTGTTTAAAAAGAAATCTTTAATAATGTGTAATTGTTTTGTTTATGGAACGCCAATAAATTATATTTTGTTCATTTATTACATCTTAAACCTTATCGGTCCTATATTTTCAATATAACAAACTTTTATATATTGCATATAATAACATTGCCGTGCATCGCACGGGTACAAATACTAGTAAATAGGTTAAAGCAATAAGAACACAAGAATTATAGTGATTCTACTCCACTATACTTTTATCACCGAAAGGAATTCATTATATCCACCACACCCGTACAAGATACAATGAATTACTTGTAAATTCAGCCAAAGTGGAATAGACTTCTCTTCTTGTGCTTGAATAAATGTAAAAGAAGAGAAGGAAAATTGTACGTTGTGGAGTTTGAGAAATAAACCAGGGCTAATGGATTAACTTCACCACTTGTATCTACAACTGAAGTTCTGGGTTGGTCAATTCTGCATCTCCTTTCTCAATATATTAATATCGTTGGTGACAGTAAATATGTTATCGGAGTATATTAGGAAAGGAGTAGAGTAATTGTATTGCTATGTTCGAGTACAATATTTTCAGAGTGTGTCCCTCCTCTGCTGCGACATGGACTCATCCTTTATACTATAAACTTGTAATGCTTACAATAATTGCACAACGCGTGGCTTCCTATTAAATACTACAACGGCGGCCTCCTGAGTAATTGTTGTATGTGCGCTCCCTCCATAATTGTGTTGGCCCTCCATAACTC